TGTACATATGTGCTTGACACAATGGATGGATGTATGGATTGTGATAAGAATTGTACGAACCCCCAGTAAAATGATTTAAATAAAAAACAAAATGTATACCATCTTAATGTAAGGTATTCACAATGGGATAGATTTGGGAGGTTTGGAGACTCTTTCATAATCTTTGCAACTCTTTTTGCAAATCTAAAATTGTTTATTATAACAAACACAAACTCACCACCAAGTCAATTCTGACTCATAGTTTATTAAAATGAATTTTCCTCCAACACACCCAGTGCCTCCCATGGTTTTGCCTGTCTTATAGGTCATCTCCACTAGTCCCATGTGAGCAGGGACTTTGAGGGCAGTTTGACTCCTAGAGCACGGCCCAGGGCAGGGCTCAGCCAGCTGGTTCTGAAGGCATCAGGTGTGTGACAGGGGCAGGGACCTGCTGGCAGCATGGTGGTCCTTCTGGAGAGGGCTGCTCTGTCACGGAGATGGGACACCGAGGAAGGGGCAGGCTGGGCACCACAGTGCAAACTGCCCGTGATGTGTGGCCAGCATATGGGTCCTAGGCAAGCCCCGGGGGTGGGAATAAGGGTGCTGAGACTCCTGAGAGTCAGTCTAGAGTTTGCAAACTTTTAGAGCGAGGGAACTGATGGTTCATAGGGAATCGTACCCCAAAGCTGCATATCAAAATCAAGTGGGAGCTTGCACCCACCCTGCCATGGCCACTTGTGTGGAATCCAGTATGAGGCTGGCAGGGCCTCCTGTTTGGCTGTATTAGGGTCTGGGGGAAGCAGATTGGGGAGGGGCATGCAAAGGGTGTCTAATGAGGGAGGTGATCTTAGGAGTGGTCAGCAGGGATGACTGCCTGGAAAGGCCAGGTTTCCAGGGAGGGGGAGGGCAGGCCTGTGCAGGCAGATGGGAGTCAGCATGTTGTGGGAGAAGGGGAGGAACCACAGGACCTCAGTGGATTCCCACCAGTGGGACCAGGTGCTGAACCCTCCTGCCCCAAGGGGCTAGTACACCACCCAGAGCCAGAGCTGATCATGATAGGGTGCGGCAGGCCAGCCTGCAGGGGCCGGAGTATGGAAACCATTAATTAGCCAGGGAGGCCCAGGGGGGCTATCCCCATGGGTGGTGAGTCCATAAGTGTTTGGATGGTCCCACCCTGTTTCCTCTCTGGCCTGACTAAGGCCTGCAAGGGACCACCTTCCAGATCATCTCTTTGGGGGTGGCAGGTATTGGCAAGCCCCACCCACGCTGGCACTCTAAGAATGGTTGGCCCTTTCCTGTGCCCCTGACCTTGCTCCTGCTGAGTCTGAAAACAAGTGCTGTCCAGGAGGCGGAGGGCCCCAGGGAGAGGGCAGGCAGAAGGCTGTGACCCGGCCCTTTGACAACAGCAGTGGCCACAGGGCCTTGCCCAGGGATTTCCTCCCCACCCACCCAGCCTCCACTTCCTCCACTGGGACCCTCTGTCTGGGTAAGGCAACCAGGCCCTGGGCTTCCTCTGGCAGCAGGCTTCCTAAAGTGCCAGGGCTCACGCAAGCCTGCCTTGAGAGCCACTCAGCTGGCTAGGTCTGGCGGACACTAGGGTGTCCTTGTAAGAACCAGGTCGTTCTGGTTCACACAGGAGTTGACCCAGGTGGGTCTCATCCCTGTGGGGCAGAAGGAAGTGTGCCCTGCTCGGCTGAGGTCCTGCCACATGCTACAGTCCTCTGTGCCCACGGGCTCCCCTCTCCCCACGTACATGATGCTCTTATACACATGCACGTTACAACAGCACTTGCGCACAGAGTGCGCAGTTACCTTCACAAATACTTATGATATTGTCTTATGTGGTAGATGTGCACATTATACTACTTAAGACACTCCCTCATTACATGTGAACACACACACACACACAATACTCACTGGCACCCACAGTATTCTTGCACTCACACAACGGCCCTCTCAGCCGCACTGTCAATTCCAAATTCTACCTGAGTGGGCTCCTGTGGGGCCTAGAGGTCCTGGCTGCCATCCCCTCCACATGCCAGCCCCACAGCAGGGCAGGCAAAACCTGCCCGGAGTCATTCTTCCTTAGAGGTCCCCAAAGCACACGGAGAACCTCTGGAAACCTGGTCTGGCCTGCTCACTGGCGGGTTGAGGACCGGGATAGCAGGGCCGCCCCGCCAGCCTGGGGGTCATCCAGGCCCCCTCCCAGCACGGGGCTCTGCACATTCCTCCCCATTCCTTCCTTCCGCTCTCCGGCTCACCATCCCCTCCGGCGACCTGCCCTGGACGCCCGGACAAACCAGCCATACTTAGTGTTGTCTGTGCTGTCAGCTGCTGGAGGACAGGGTTCCGCTTTGCTCACTACTGTGTCCCCCTTGCCCGGGCCGAGGGGAGTCCTTGGGCCCTAACACCATGCTGAGGGTGGCCATACCTGAGGCGGAGAAGCTGGGGGTAGGGGTGGATCCCAACGAGCCGTGTTCGTCCGTGCTCAGAGCTGTTTATGGTGGGGTTCAATTTGCCCACGCATGTGGGGTGGGGACTTTCAGTGGTTTCTTGGGCCAGTCCCCCTCGAGGGTCAAGGCCCACCCCTAACAGCACAGGCCTCCTAGAATGGCCCCGCCCCTCAATGGGCCTTAGGGATCCTCCAAGGGTGAAGGGCTGGGCCTGGCGTCCCCTGGCCTGAAAAGACAGGACTTTGTAGACTGTGCAACTGGTGCTGGAGCCGCCTGGCGGCCTTCCTGAGGCTGAAGCGCCCCAGCTGGTGCTGGCGTGGGGCCGGCAGCCACCCTGCGACCTGAGGAGTCCCAGCTGCTGGAAGTGGGGGGCGTGCTACGGTGGTTCCCAAGGACACTTGGTGACCCACGCTGGACTGCCATCTCTTGATGCCCATACCTTGGGCTTCATCGCCTTTTGCAAGACCCTGAGTCTGCCCTGACCACGGACACACAATGGAGCTCAAAACTGACAGGCAGCCAGGCCACAGCACCTCAGGCGCGGAGAGGAAAGGATGGCCGACGATGGCTCTTGCACCTGGTGGCCATTTCCTGTCGT